TATAACGACCATAGAAGCCCCACCTGAGTTTGAGGCTTCATTGACTGAGGGCCATTTCATACATTCAGCAGAATGGAGAAATAACTTTTTTTGCGGACTGTACCATCTTGCCCACAAAAGAACTTCCTGCACAGAGAAAATTAGCATGTCTGGGAAAGTGATCAGCCATACCTTTTCCGCTGCAGTCTGAAGTGGAATGTTCTAGGCAAAACTCGACCACTTGGCTCTGTCAATTGCATAAACTAGAAATAAATTGGCACGGTCTTTTGCAAAGCCCCCACCTGCTTTTACACTGGGGTTGAGAGAGTAAGAGTGCCAGAGCAAAGGAGCAGCTTGCAAAATGGCTGACGGCAAACTTACTGAACATGAATGTGGGATATTCCTCAGAAGTGACACTTGAGAGGCCTGCCTGCGTAAGAGGTCCCTGTTCCTCTGTGACATGATGAGAGAACAATGAAGGATAAGAACTTTCGAGTGTCTCACTAAACCCCAGTGGGATGATGTTCTGTAGCATAGTTAGCATATGCGTTAGTCTAAGCCAATGCCAAAAGCAGAAGCAGAACACTATTAGCTCAGTTTGTGCCATAGCATAAGCCCCGGCATAGGAATGTGCATTATTTCTATATATGTCTCTCTCTCTAGGGTGCTTCTGGAAATCCGATTTGTCTCTTAAACCTAGTCCATGCAAAAAAACCATCTTTGCAAGAAACTCTACAATAACCTGCTCTTACAACAACAGGCTAGAGGTGACTGGCTCAGGGGTGGAAACTAGTCAGAGGGTCAAAAATGCTGATTTTACTGACCAAAATTTTAAAAAAACGATCGAATCCTTACAAAAAACTGACAAATTACTGAACAATTTAATGTCAGCCTATTGGTAAGTTAGGGGGCCGCAGTGGCTCAGAGGTTAAGATGCTGAGCTGCAGACCAGAAGTTTGAGACCCTAGTGCCGCCCACGTGAGAGTGAGCTCCCATCTCTGGCCCCAATCCTGCCAACCTAACAGTTCGAAAGCAAGAAATTGCAAGTAGATTAATAGGTACCGCTACAGTGGGAAGGTAACAGTGTTCCGTGTGCCTCAGCGTTTAGTCATGCCAGTCACATGACCACGGAAATGTCTTTGGACAGCGCTGACTCTTTGGCTTGCAAATGGAGATGAGCACTGCCCCCTAGAGTTGGATTCAACTGGTTTTTGAACAAGGGAACTCTTTACCTTTAATTGGTATGTTAGCGTTTTAAAAGTAAAACCAGGCCTTCGTTAAAAATGATGATTATCTGGCCGCCACCATCCCCATAGCCAGCCACCGGCACACCTTTTTATTGGTGTTTTTTTTAAATGAAGATAGGACAATGTTTTCATAATTGTACAAACTTTAAGGCAAAAGAATTCCTTTTTATAAATTATCAGATACTGCAGATAATAAAACAGCAGAACATATTAAAAATCATACATAAAGTAATCATTATGACAACAAAACATAATTACTGTAAGACTTTGCTTTTATTTTATCTTTTTTTTGCTGAAAAAGAAGTTATTAATAAACTCTTTAGTTTCTCAACATTTTTCTGCACTGCATCCTCAAGCAATTTTTCTTGTCCTCTTCTTCCATTGCTTTCTCCGCTCTTTCTAGCATGAGCTGTGCCGTGTTGAATCCCACAATATCATTTTTCTCAGCAGCCTCCTTTGCACGTTTGGTCGCATCACTTGGCAACATTCAAGCAATTATCCCATTCTCGTTCTGTTTTTATCTCCGCTTTTTCAGTTTTGCTTCCTTCTCTTGTATACCATCCTTTTCACTGTCTATCTTCTTAAACTTTTCTAACTCCTCTGCCTTTTCCCTTTCTTTTCCTTTTTGCTCCTTCTCTTTTAATGACACACTGTTCGTCACAGTATTGCTTGTAATGAACACGAGCTGCTCTTACCATCTGTAAAAGCTCCCGTGTGATATTAACATGGTATACCTTGTTTTCATATACATGATATAAAGTTTCTTTGACCATCAGGTGGGCAAAGTTCACTCTGACATGCTGGCCCTTTCATTGGTCAAATTGTGTCCAGATTTTGAAAACCCTCTTTCTATGTCTACACTACCACGCGATGATAATGCTGTTTTCACCACCTTGGTAACAGTGGGTATTTTGGATCTCCAGATGGTTTTGTCTTTCCAAAGAACTGATTCCAGTACGTATAAATGAGGCAAGTTTCACTGGCACTTTCATCTTCAAGTCTAAGAAGTTTCCATTCATCTGCAATCATGTCCAGTGGAATGTCCACTGGGAGTGCTGCCACTACCTTCATTATATCCTTGTGGGTTCCTTCTTTGATTCTCTGTGCTGGAGGTAAACATTGAAGATATCTGAGGATGGGCTTGTCCAAAGATGACTGGAGTAAAAGGTGTTTGCAGGCTGCTATGAAATGTTTTTTTGCTCCCATTAAAAAGAGTAGCTGTTCCTTTTCAGAAAGTTTTTTCAGTTCGTCACAGATTCTACTTTCACTGACTACTTCTCACAGGTATGCAGTGTTCATCACTGAGGCCTTTAAGAGGCAGTGGTGCTGAACTCTTACAAACATGATTCATTATGGTTCTTGTGAGTGTTTTTACTTCACTGTGCATCGCATGCACCAAAGACTCTTCTTTTTGGAACACTCCACTGAACTTTGTAAATAAGCGGGCACTCGTGCAACAAAACATCATCTCTGCTTTCATTGTCTCATGTTTTAAGAGGTTCATTATGTTTCTATACTTTGTGGCAGATTTCACCAAATCACTTTTACTCTTAGGAACAAAGTCCTTAAAGTACTTCATAAATGAACTGAAAACAATCTGTCTTCTCACTGGGAAGTCATCCTGTTTCCCCCCAAATGCAGTAACGAAAACAAAAAAGCACAAACTGCTTTCATGAAAATCAAAGAAATACTGACTTCACTGACCAATTGTTTAAAAAATGACAAATTACTGACCAAGATGAAAAAACTGACTTTTACTGATTTTACTGACTAGGTTGGTGTAGTGCTTAAGTGCGTGGACTCTAATCTGGGAGAACCGGGTTTGATTCCCCACTCCTCCACTTGCACTTGGCTGGATGACCTTGGGCAAGCTGTTGCTCTGATAAGAGCTGTTCTTGAAAAAAGAGCAGTTTCTGTCAGAGCTCTCTCAGCCCCACCTACCTCACAGGGTGTCTGTTGTGGGGAGGGGAAGGGAAAGGAGTTTGTAAGCCGCTCTGAGACACCTTTGGGTAGTGAAGGGTGGGGGTATAAATCCAATCTCGTCTTCTTCTTCTTCTTCTTCTTCTTCTACTGACCATTTTCCACCCCTGCTGGCTCCAAAACCTTATAAAACTCTGAGCCAACCTACGCATTACACTTAATGAGATGGAGAAGGGCCCATTCTGGCATCACATGGCAGGTGAAGGGGCTGCCGTAGCTTCCCCCCACACTCCTGGGAGTCACGGCAGAAACCCAGACCGTGTAGAAGTTCACCAGTAATTCCTTTCCACATCACATCAGCATCATTGAAACTGAAGCTATACTGGTGTAGAAAACAGTGCCATGCATTGTCGGCCTCCCTCATGTGGCCTGGGGCTTCTAATGTTCCCCAGGTAGGGAGGAGCAGGGCCATTGCCGCTTCTGTGCCCATGGGCAATATCAGAATGGTGCCCCTGTCAACAAAGGGGGTAGAATTTTGGACTGCACTATTTCAGAACTGGAGGGGGGGGGAGCTTGCTTTTCTGAATGCTTCCCCCACTCTCCCATCATCTTTAGTGTATGAACACAGCAGAGAGACTGAAACTGCATAGCCCTCTCTCTGATGGGGTAGTTTGCTATTTGCAGCAGGGATTAAACAAAAAAAAAATCTGGAACCAAACAGTGGTATGTGATTACATGCATACTGCTGCAACCTATCTGTGTCTAGTCCCTGTGTGCACATCATCAATCCTTCTCGTAACACTGACAACTTCACAGTGCTGGTGTCATGCATATAGGTGGCCTTAGTGATTCTGGGGTCCTGGGCAACAGTCCAGAATGGGGCCACAGAACCACTACTATCCCTAAGCCTCCCCTGCCAGGGCCAAGCCAGAGGTAGTCCTCGACCCATGAAAGGCAGGTAGGAGCTACCACCAGCAGAAGCTGGCTGCCCAAGCCCTGGAGAGGACAGGCACAGGTGGCCACCAGGCCTGTAGCCAGGATTTTTAAAGTTGGGGGGCATTTACATTTCTTGGGGGGGGCCTAGCTAATCAAACTGAAGGAATACCCAGCTCCTTCCCCGCACCTGCCACCGCTTGGGTGCGGGGAAACACAATTTTTCCATGCCTTTTTGAACTGCATAAATGTTCTCTTTGAAGTGGAACCCGCCAGACCCTGGAACTGCACATTTTATGTCTGGTTGCACATTTAAAAAACAAAAACAAAAAACCATCTTCGAAGCCCAGCTCTCTTTTTACACCACCTATGTGTGTTATTCCCTCAAAGAGTAGCACCGCAGCCCAGTTCTTTCCCCCTCCCCTGCATGTGCAAACCCAGCGTCATATACAGTGCTGTCCTAAGAAGAGTTAACACCCTTGTAAAGGCTTAGAAGGGCGTGACTCTGTGAGGAGCGTGGCCTTTCCCCTCCAGGTGTATCTTCTGCGCGGGTCTCTTGGAGGGGGCCAGGTGAGAGCCAGCTTGATAGGTTCCTGTCCTGGTGATTTTTCTCCACTCAAGAGGGAAGGAGTTTCGCTCTGGAGGATGTAGGGCGCAATCCTCAACCCGCTGAACAGGAAATAAAGCCCCTTGGAGGCTAGTGCGGCTTACTTCTGAGGAGAGACGTCTAATATTGCGCCTCTGAGGTGAGAACGCGGCGTCCATAACCCCAAATTCTCTGCTCTGTTTTCTCTCCCCCCCCCCCCTTTTCCGGGGGGAGGGCAAACGCCAGAGCGCGTCCCGCCCCTTCCTCGTCTCAGTCCCGCCTCTTACTCCCCGGAGAGGCCGCCCAGCGCCCGCCCGCTTCGCTCGCTTGTTTGGGCTGCTGTGGCTTGCCAGGCAGGCGGGCTGAGGGGGGCAGCGCTTCGTGCCTCCGGTTCCCGCTCGCTCCCTCCGTCCAGGTGGATTCCCGGCGACCTCTCCCGCCTGCTTGCCTTCCCTGCCTTCCTTCCTTCCTGCGCCAGGGGCTGCCCCACGAGCCAGCGGGGCTGAAGCGCGGCTCGCCAGTTCGGAGACGCAGCACGGCCAGGCAGCCAGCCGGGGGGGCCAGGCCGGACAGCGGTGGCTCCTGAGGTGAGTGTGCAGCCGGGTGTGCCTGAGCCCCCCCCCCCAGGACCCCCAAGGCCTTAAGAAGGAAAGGGAGATGGAGGAGCGGGGGGGGGGCTTTTGCTGCAGCAGCTGATGCCTGGGAAGGGGAAGCCAGGGCAGCCTGGGATGCTGCCTCCTCCAGCCTCAAGGGAGCCTGCACTTTGCCTAGCTTTTTGCAGAGGCGGCTGGAGCCCGGGGAGCCTCTCCCCGTCCAAGTTTCCAGGGCGCTCCTCTTCCCCGTGGCGGGGGTGGTGGTATCTTTGCAGGTGAGGGGGGGGCGGCCTCTGGGTCTGGCTCCCTCTCCGCCGCCCCTTGGATGCTGACCTTTAAAAAAAAAATTCCTGACGGTTATTTGGCCTTTTGGTGCCGGCGGGGGTGTTGATATCTTTGCAGGTAAGGGGGGGCCTCTGGGTCTGGCTCCCTTGGATGCTGACCTTTTTAAAAAAAAAATCCTGACGGTTATTTGGCCTTTTGGTGCCGCTCTGCCCCCCTACGGCAGTATGGGTGGCTCCGGCCACAAAGCCGGAGGGCTGGCGGATGCTGATGGGGATCCTGCGGTTGGCCAAAGTGCAGCGAGCTGGCTTCGAGGCAGAGAAGAGGTGGCGGGGATCGGTGTTTTCCTTTCCGCGTTCGGCGCAGGGGGGGATCTTCTGCATTTGGCGTCCTGTCGCAAAACGTTACATTGAATGGGGGGTGTTCCAGTCGTGGAAGGCTCGGCTGCGGCGCAAGGGAAGCCGATCCCGAAAGCGGAGGGGCCGGGAACGAGTCGCTGTTGGGCGAAGAAGTAAACAATGCCAAGCCATTGGCTGGGGGTTTCCCTCGGGGAAGAAGGAACTGGCTGGAAAGAACTTCTGTAATCTCGCAGGGTCGTGTCCTCCACCGCCCTTTCCGCAACGGCGAATGCATTTCCACACGCAGGGGGCTGAGAGACTGCCAGCCAGCCAGCCAGCCAGCCGTTGACACCGCCGCTGACTTAACTGTAGATGTCAGGCTGGGCTTGGGCAGATGCGAGGCTGGATGCACGGTGCAAAGGAGGCGTTTGTCCCCTCCCTCCCAGAGAGGCCGGAGGAGGGCTTCCTGTTTGTTTACAGAAGGCGGCCAGCATCCCCAGAAAAGAAGTCTGACTTTCTCGGCTTCTGTCTTAATGGAGCCAGCGGATTGCCCCTGGAGGCATCCTCAGGAATAACCTGGCAGTGTGTTTGTAGGCGGGGAAGAGCAGGTTTTTAGAGTTGGGCTGATGCCTGGCACTGGAGGAAAAGCTGACTTGGTGAGTCTCTCAGCCCTGCTGTTTTTTGTTTTGTTTTTTAAATAAAAGGTGGTTGGCTACACCAGAGGGTGGTTCTTTTCCCTGGAGGTTGGCTTTAGAGGCCCTGGGCTAGATGCACTCCTTTTGTTCAAGGTGTGGAAAACTGCACCCCCTCCCTGCCCTTCTCTGTGTGCTGGGCCAGGTATGGGAGATTTAGAGCTCGTTTGCAGATGTGTGTTCGTTTTTGGATGGCCCTAGTATAGTGGTGTAAACAAGTCCTAGCCAATGGGACGCCAGAATGAGAATGTTGTGTTATTGACCCGGGTGTCTCTTCAGATGCTGAGCTTGTTAGTAGAATCGGGTCACAGATGCAGTGGCGAATCATTGAGTGTTAAGAAATCAGGTGATGGTTACAGGCTTGTATGAGACAGCCTTACAAAGTTGGAAAGAAAAGGGTTGATCACTTGGCCCCTGAGGCTGAGGCTTAAATCTTCCTCTACAAATGCTTGCTCAACCATTTTTTAAAAACCTCCTAGAGAGAGGACTCTACAACCTTCCTTAGACATTTTGGCCCAGTGCAGATCAGCCTGTCCAGTTACCTTCTTGTAACTTAGAAAGCATTTCTTTATTCTTATCCTTGATGGCTCAGGGCTGCCCCTGCTCTTTCTGGGGTTCCTTTAATTATTTTAAAACAGGCATCATTCTCTCCCCCAGTCACTTTCTTTTTATTGAGGCTATCCAAATCTTTAAAAAAAATAATTTTCCAGATAAGTGATGAATAAATAAAGGTAACTGCCAAAATGGGAATTAAGACACAGTTTAGCATAAAGAAAAGTATGCATACAAAACAATAAGCAAAATAATTAATACTGTTGCTAAGTAAATAAATCAAGAATTCAACACTAAGCATGTAGCCATAATCTAAATTTAGAATCGGGAAGGGACTTGACATTTCCAGCTATCTAGCAATATTACATGCACAACAACCTTTTGAAGAAGGTCTAACAATATCAGGATTTTCATTAACAGAGAATGTGCTGCCCAGTTTTCAGCGAATTAATCAGACGATGAGCATAAGGCAACACAAATGAGAAGTTAACTCATCCATCAGTGTTTCCATCTTCATTGTCTTGTGTCAGAATTCAGCACAATGTCTTCTGGTTGTTTTCCATTTCCTAGCAATTTCTAACTTCTAAGGAGAGAAGGCAATAGATATTTTGATTTTGTTCCTAATAACGATAAACAAGGGATTCTGTGTGGTTATCTGACCGATCTCCTCTTAGATCTGAATCCAAAAAAAGCTGCTCATATACATAATTATATAACCAGCACATTTGGTGATACATTGCCTACAATTGACAGCTGCTGGAACAATAAAGGAAAGAGAGGTAGATATGAATCTGTCAGATGTCTGTGCAGCAGCAGTGTTCTTGGGCAGAATTGTTTTCAAGACAACCTTGAAAGTAACTACTACAAAAGCTTTAATTCTGGTATGTTACTATAAACTGTAGCCAGAAAGGGGGGGGGACCCTCAAATTTTATAAAGGTATCTTACTTTGTTGCCTGGAGGGCAACTCATACTTGCTGCTGGCAACCTAACCAGGAGCTGTTTACAAGCCTGCATTTGAAGGCAATATCAGATTTCCTTGGAGCCCTGTGAGGTTGTCATGATTGATAATATTTCATTGTAAACAAACCAGCTCATGGTCTTTAGCAATACTGAATGCTGCAAGCAAGCATCTAGATGTCTCTTCCTGTATACATAACAGAGCTAACCACTAATGGAAGTGCAGTATGTGTCCAAGTGCTCTCTCCCCCCCCCCCACAGGCAGGCTTCACTGTTGTCCTAGATCCTTCTTCCTGCCTTAGCCTTGTAGTTGCTTACATTGGAGATCATGTGTTGTGTTGCTTCCTTATCTTTAAAAAATATTTAATGGCAGCACAGTTTTAACATTCATATCAATAAAGTTGACTCATTCTTTCTTGGACTCTGCCTGTTTGAGGGTGTGCACCTTGGGAGGCCTTGTTAATTACTGTGATTAGTTTTTCTGCAGAGGGTTACAGGCCTGTCAGGAGCTGAGCTTCTGCTGGGGGCCTGGCAGGGAGGAAGACTGAAGCCCTGGTATTGTTAGAAGTTGTAATTTACAGGTATGTCGCCCACTATCTTAACAGTTGGCCACTGGGCCATGTGACATGAAGATTATGGCCTTTTGTTTCCCCCCCCGTGTAATTATTTATTTTGAAAATCCATGTTATGTTCCTGGCTTAATAGCCCATGTTATAGCTGCAGCAAAACACAGCAGGGCGTGTGTTTTTTATTGTGCAACAATGTACAGCGGCTGAAAGCCATTCTTCTTCAATTTGTGTCTTGCAACATAATTTGGGGCTCTGTGCTTATTAGATGGCATCTGCGTGCTGTCTTGCAACATACATGAGTTCCGCAACAGAAGCAATGGGCCAGATGTGCTGAAACTTTCTTGTTTGTTGCTTTTGGTTCTGCAGAATGACGGTTCTGAAAAGAAATGGGCTTTGCCAAAAACAGAGCATCTTCTTTGAATCCACCTTTCCATAGAGGAGAGCTAGTTGGTGCGGAGAGCTTCAGGCGCTGCAGGATGCTAGCAGAGGTAGCTTAGCTTCAGAGAAGTAAACTTTGGCAATAGGTAAACGTAACAGGGTATACCAGAGGCTTTTGGGCTGGGTATTTCAGATCAGTGACTGAACTTTAGTGTTCCATTTCTCTGCATTTGCCGGAGAAATGTCTCCTTTTTGGCCCGTTTTCTCTTCCCCAGTAGCTGGAATAGCAGAGAACCCTGTCCCCTGGAGTCATCAGAAACAGCCTGTGCCAGCTGCACAAAGGTTAGATCTATGGGCTGGCCACTAAGATAGATCACTGAAGGTTGGCCACCATTATCTAATAATCTAATAATATTAATGTATTAGTATTATTTAATGTCTGGCACCTTTTAATGTTGGAGTGTTTTGTATGGGTTTAGGATATTTAAATTGCTTGCGTGTGTGTTCTTATTCTTTTATGTAAGCCGCCCTGAGCCGGCTTCGGCTGGGAGGTCAGGGTATAAATCTGAAAAATAAATAAATTCCATCCTCCCTGTTCCTTCTTTTGACCTCTCCGCTTCTCTCCTAGAGCCTACTTCTGTTCCTCCTTTCCAGCTTTGCCTCACCTGGGGCTTTTGTTATCGGAAGGCGTAGGAAAGGTGGAAAAATACATTGGAACAGGCTATCCAAAATGAGGCTTCTCAAACAATGTAAATAGCTAACAATGACTGTCCCGTTTCACAGAGCTGCTGGAAGAATGGCTGAGATAATGCATTGGAAGCTTTAAACCCCTCAACCATTTAAAATATTGTATCATAATTGTTTCTGACTGAAATAGTGTTATAGCCCTTCTGTTGCAGTGGAATTGTGCTGGTGTTTCTCCTAGGTCTTATATTCAAGATTTGAGTACTAGTGTTTGGGACAAATAAGGTTCATGTCGTTACATGGGGGTGTGTGTGTGTCAAGGAACTCTTTGCCATCGTGTGTAGGTTGTGGAGTTTGCAACGTCTGGGAGAGGCGACATTCCGTAATGCTGTGTTGGCTTTGTCTGATTGCATGCCAATAGTGCTTCCTGCCAATGGCTACTTTGTGTAATTAAAGGTTGGTTGTAAAATTGGGACGGAGTTACACCAGCTTGCGGAAAAGCCACCGAAACTTCGCGACATGGCTGTGGCACCTTGGGTGA